ATTGGAATGAATGATTTTTATGGCTTTTAGTCCAGAGCTTCACACTTCAAATGGTTATGAAAAATTTCCCCAATCATACGGAAATCGCAAGGAATATTTGAATATAACAGCTTTGGGTAATATCTTTTTCTAAATTTCAGTTTATTGTCCAAAGACAGAGAGATGAGACATTATTTTATGGAGATCATGTCAAATATTTCCACTTTATCGCTGTGCAAACAAGCATTGGCATATTTTGGCGCTCAATGATTGTGTGATCTAGTTTTGACTGTTAAATACCAATATTTATTTGAATGCGAAAACAATGCCATTGGCGGTATCAGCGGAGAATGATTAATTGTCGCGCGGCGCAATAAAAGAAGCTGCGAGCATTTTGAGTGACTCAGTGTTTTCATAATTTCCATTTTCATCCGGAGATCCAACAGTGTTTCCTCCTGTGGGACACAAACACACCATCATCAAAGAGGAAAAGCGTCTCAGAATCAATTTCGCAGAATCATCAATGAGCCACACACCCTGAACTGAGAGGAGTAAATTTACTAAACAGATGCCACACCGCACTTAAGTCACTCGTGAGGAGGCATGATGGCATAATTAATTACCCAAGGTACGGTTCTGTGATATAGTGTGAAACATATTCTTCTGCATCTATTGATTTTGCGGCGCAGACACACCTTGTTCAGCGTAGATTTATCGTCGCTACCACACAAATGATCAACTTGACAACGGCGTATTGTTGATAATTAATACAATATGCTTATTATGTTAAATAATACACTATACAGTCTCTATCGTCATTTGAGCGAGGTGCAAGAGAATCCACTGTGGAGAAGTTGTTTACCAAGTAATCCCTCGCACCCTCGCACCATTTTCATTGAACTTATGGTTTCAGTATATCGTCACACACACACAGCTCTCGTGTGATGTTGAGAGTTTGAAATTGTCGAGCGAGTTTAGATAATCAGGGAAAATTTCCCATTGAGCGTCAGAAGGTTATCTTGGGAATCGCACTTCTTGCAACCATGGAAAGCTCTCTGTTTTCTCTAGCACGCACTTTTGGTCTATTTCTGTACCTTAAGTGAGCAACATTTAAATTTATGTACGTGGCAAGTACAAATATATAATTTGCTGTGCAAATTTAAACATATGTACAAATCTCTCTCTCTCTCTCTCTCTCTCTGCTATGCGGAAAACTCCCTACACTGTGGAGCACGTGGAGCTGAGACAATCTCAGAATGGTCTTGAGATAAACGGGAGCGGAAGCGGTCTCAGGAATGTGTCAAAGTTTCCAGGCGATCCCAAATGAAACTTTCCATGTGGCGGATTGTCTTAAATTCTCGCATTCGCAGCGGTGTAGAGGAATTTTTGTACAAGGGTGGATATTCATTTTGCTGGCACATCGCCAGGTTAGTGTGGCAGAAAGCAGAAGCTGTCAGTGGGACCAGGTACATAAATCTCCGCTGAGCGGAAAAGCGCGTGTGTGTGTGTGTGTGTTCTCTTGCGAAAGACAATAATCCACTTTAACACCCGATAAGGACCATTCAAATAAGTACACAAGCATCTAAATAAATATTTCATTTTATGTAAACATCCCATGATTAGTGGAGAGTCTTCAAATCTTCCGCTATTCACTTTTATTGCCCACGATGCGTACACAGAAGGTAAATCTTGCATGATTGAATGAAAAGACGATGAATAAGTCGAGAAGCTCATGATGTTTATTTCTATCGGAATGAGAAATGCTCCATCGGGCATTTCGTCTAATTCGCAAAAACATACTTTTGGCATTTTTAAACTAATTAACGTCAGCTAAATCGCCCATTTGCCTGATTTCAGATGTTCTCATACGTTAAACTGACAGAGAAATTGCTGTGCAAAATTATCTTCCAACAAGCTGGTTAGTGCCAGAAGATTTATAGTTTTTATAAGGCAAATTTGATGAAATGTTCTCAGAAAGTGAATTTAATGCTCCTCCATCTCAATATTAATCATATTATACTAATAATATGTTGTCTAGGAATATCAGAAATATGAATTGCAAAGTTTTCTTCAACTCAGATTCGTCAAATACATAATATAATACATAAGGTTGTCTGCGGTCTTGGGCAATTTTCAGAAAGAAATTCATTCACTTCAGTCAAAGTGTATAAATAGGAAATTGACGGTCTGCAGACAGTTCTGATGAAATATTGAATATCGTGAAATTATGCACTGTGTCAGTGAGTCGTGTGAGAACGGCCACTGAGGGTATTTATTTAGATTGCGTGCACCAACAAGAGAATCAGCAAGACACTTTAAACGCGTTTCAAACCATATTCCCTAATGACATGTTCAATTAGTATCACATTTCATGTCTGCAGTGTGGACTGGACGAAAAAAAGCGAGCTTATTTTCAGTCTACTTTTTTTCATGTCTCCGAATATAATTGCATGCGAGGTGGAAATTTCGGTGGAAAAAATTGATGCTCGATATTTGTTTGTTTTCTCTCGCCGATGATTAATCGTGTTGAGTGTTTCATTAAGTGAGAAGTATTAAAATGTCATTTGCAGCACCACTCCTCGCGAGAGGTGACAACTCAAATATTATCGCGGAAAAGCGCGTGTATCAGCAATAATTTGAAAACATTCACCCGCGGACCAGAAAGAATGTCTGAATATCCCACACGACCGCCAATTTAGGTGGAGATGACTATCGCGGTGCTTTGTCAGGGTCAACTAAACATAACTGTGATCTTATCGTCGGAAATTCAATAATCTTCCGGGAGGAACTATTTCTAAAGTGATTCTGAGCACAGCCATTATTAGTGAACACGAGAATGTGGTAGAGACGGAAATTGGCTGGTGAAAATGCCAGTAAAAGTGCACGATATAATTGAATTGAGCGAGATATGAAATTTCAGAAACCACTTGATAGACTTTGCATAGTCTAGTCAACAGATGTACGTATAGTTCAGCGGTTCATTAATTGCAAACAATTAGACCTCATCTCGAAGATTAGCAAACAGCCTCGTCACCAGAGCGAAAATTACACACTTTGTAATCTCTTTAGCTCCCATCAGATTACTTGCATTCAATATACGCATTCAAATTGCATTAGCCAATTGAACTGCGCATTTTGGCAAGCTCAGTGTTATATACATATGTGATGATAGAGAGTGGCTTTGCAGCCACACCACTTCATTCAGCAATATGAATTGAGTGATAAAAAGATCTGTGAAGCGTGACAAAAGTGTTGTAAAGCTATTAATAAACACAATTCTGCGGTTATCTTAACATTATTGAATTTTTATATGTTCAGCACACACCACAATTGCGGTTTGCAGAGCATCAATGAGATGGATGCACTCCGTCAAGGGAATTACATTTCAGGAAATTGAGTTAATCGATTTTTGTTAACTTTTCCGTATGTTTCCATTGGGAGTTGAGTGTGTACATGTGGATTATAATTATGATATACATACAGATCGGAAAATCTACAGAGCTTTTTGTGAATTACTTCGTTTGCCCGCGGAAAGCGACAAACCGTTACATGCATGCAATGAATTGATTTATTGGAATATTTCACGCGATTGCGAGGAATAAAATATAATAACATTATTAAAGGGAATTGATTAAATAAGTATGTTGAATGCCTGAAAAACGTTGATGACAAATTCAACAAAAACCACATTTCCATTTTGTATACTTCTGCTGCAACAATGTGGAAATACTATGCTTTCCTGCACTCATTTCCACCATTTCCACAATTTTTTATAGATTAATGACAGCGAAAATAGTTCGTTGTCCAGATGAAAAGCTAGATTATTCCCTGTACATTTAGCCTAGGGTTGACTTTAAAACTTTTCCGTTTAATATTTCGCTGCTATAAATAAGTAAACTTGTGAATTTTCTTCTCATTTTCTCGTCATGTCTGATTAAATTTATGCAGCAAAGTTGTTCACAAAAGACTTCCCAATTAAATTAGGTCGTCAGTTTTGGATAAACTACGGGTGAAGTTCGATTTATCACTCACTATGCTGATTGGAAATGCACATAGCATCGCTTTAAATTTAGAATCCGTGTCTGAGCATTTTGCAAAAAATTAGGAAAAGATTCACGAGACGCGATGTCTTTGATAAAGCGGTGGTTGCCTGTAAAAGTCAGTCGACAACCAGCTTGAGCCGGTTGCTTATGGTTCTCGCGCAGGAGTTTGTTTGCTAACTCTCTGATAATTTCAGGGCAATACACCGCGCCTTCGGCACATACCTTTCCTCTGTGGATATATAAAATAAAAGAGTGAGTGTTAAAAATAGAAAAAATTCGCATGCTGACTGATAGTATATGGACGAGGCTATTAAGTCTGTGCCCTCCCTCGCAGAGCTTTCTACCATGTGGTAAGTATGAATGAAATATTACACCCTAGAAACCCCCGAACAATGGCTTAGGATGAAAGAATAAAAGGCATTTATCGATCTATCAACGTTCATAAATTCTTGTAAGACACTACAACGCTTAAATCACTTTATTGATTTTTCCTGGCGACAGACAGTCCCATCTCAAGCACAAATAAATTTATCTATTTTTGATTTCGCATTTTTTCATCCATTTCCCCACATCCTGGCCGTTTGGTGTCTTGTATGGAAAATGATATCAACCCACAGGAGGAAATGTCTTCATGTCGATGAACGTATTCAGTGTGACGCCAAATTCCATTCACAGACATGCAATTCAATATTCGCCCTCATGCAATCCAATGGCTTTGGATTTGAAAGCGGGTTGCAAGCCAATTACAATTAAGTAGAATTATTTGAATAATTGCAATCCAGTGGATATTCATTTTGAAATCTTTGTGTGGAAGTGCGAACGTTCAATTTTCCCATTTCAAAGGCAATCGGGTAGGTTAAGTACATTGAATAAATTCTCTGCGGCACGAGATGTAATGACAGAGATAAGCCTTGTGGAAGACACAATTATTCTTTACATTAAGACGTTTAATTTCAAATTATAAAGGCAATTACTCACTCAAAATTTTGCCCTGGGTGTTGCGCGTTTATACAGAATATTCTTTAGCCTTGTTCTGTAAAAATAGACATAAAATCCTTGTAAAATTTCTAAATGGCACACGAAATAAAGTTAAATTTATAAGTATCAAGAAATCTTGATGTTTATTTAAGAATTCACTGAGTAAAATTATTTATTGAAGCAGAATGAGAGAAACAGCCTTCCAAAGATATTTCGATCATCACTCAAAAGCTTCTGCAAGAAAACCGCCCCAAACTTAAATCATTCTTCTGACATGGCAATCGCTCTCAATTCCCAATATTCAAATTTAAAATGAGATGATGTGAAGATAAATAGAACATTTCAAACTCTGAAAATTCACTTTTCATTACTTATGACAATGAAAAATTTATGGGAAATTTGGCACTATTGTTTGAAATTCCACATAACGTGATTTCGATTTCAATTCATCGCGATAGAATGAGGAAAATTTAAATTTTCTGCCTAATTCTTCTGATCAACACTCGAAAAGTTTAACATTTAATTTTAGATTAACTAGATTTTTTATTGAATAAGTATATGAGGAAATTTGATTGAAATTGTCTTAAAAGCAGTCAAATTTCTCTATAAAAACGTCGGAAACTGTGTCATAAGCTTTCTTTCTCATTTCAATGCATATTCTTTGAAATTTCTATTCGTACATTTTTTATAAATTTCAATTCAAATAAACGTGTCTTTTGATTTTGCAATGTGGAGAAAAATGCTGAATAAGACATTCATTGTGCGCTTTAAATATGTCAATTATTAGGGTGTAGATTTTCTTTGGAATTTTTCGTGGCCCGAAAAAGTTGAAAAATTTAATCAACCGTATCATAATTCGGAAGATTAGCAAAAAGGTCTGACGAAAGACGCAAATTATTCAAATCAATTCACCTAAATATTCCCTTTTCTCCGTATTCTTAGAAGCCAATGGGAAAGAATTTACTGTAAATATTATCGTTTCTCATTTTGGAAGCCGGAGATATACATTTGCCTTTCTTGTGTGCACTGACGGTGAAATTGAAATCACAACTGCCTCAATTGTATACAGAGATGATACGGAATAAAAGTCAGCGACATTTGATTTGTCAGACAAATCATAATTGTTATTATTAACCCACTGAGGGCGAGAGATGAATTTATCGCAATTATGCCACATTCTCAGCATATTTTCGTCATGGTTAATGCAGTCGCATAAGATTTATGCTCAAGTGGATGGAGAAGTTGATGGAGAAGGACGAAGAGTTGATTGCCGAAACAATAAACTCTGGCGGAATGTTAATAATACACTCGACATCGATATAGTTTTCTTTCAGCATTTGTAGCATGTGTACAAGTGCAATATTTAGCACATACACAGTTACTCGTAATTGGTGGTGCGAGTATGAAATTAACATGGCAAGCAGAAATAATACTACACTCCGATTCCCTTGACCTTATGCGATTCCACATGTGTTGAATATTTTAATAAGTACACAATTCAGATGCGAGAACACGAAAACACTCCGCCACACCATTCCTGTGACAAATTCAATATTTAATCAATGTGTGTGTGTGAAATTGAACCACAGATTCTGCCCAGTGAAATGCGGGCGCTCTGCCCCGCCGGGACTTGTCGAGAGACAAGCCTATGGCTCTCAAATATGGGCCAAGAATCCCGGAGAGAATTGGAGGAATTCCCTGTAAAATCTCCCCCAAACATCTCCAACCACACTCCTGCTCGTTATGCCAACAAGGACACCGAAGAAAAACACAAAAATCACGACAATTCATCAAAAATGAATAATATTTGCTGTGTATCTTCTCTCTTCTTCTTCTGCATTTTGGGGCGATTGTGGCCCCGCCAAGAGCGGATGGGATGAAAAAATATAAGCAACAAAAACACAAAATAACTTCCTTAGGCGAAAAGATGTTGGTGAACGTAAAAAGCGTAGAGTGAAAAGCATGTAGCAATTAATTGGATCCGCGCCCATTGCAAAAAGACGTGGGCGGATTTGTGTCGGAGTATTGAGACGTATAGAGTGAATTGGCAGTGACAGGATTTCTCCCATGGGCACCACAAATCGGTGGCGGACCACCCTCATATTTGTAATTTTATGGTTGCGGCTCTCAATGGTCCACTGAAATGTTCTTTGGCGCAAGATTTGGGAGAAATTCATGCTTTTCCGCATGGTTCTCTATTATTAAAATCGTAGGCGGTACTGAAAATATGTGTCGCAAATAAAATAACTAAACTTAAAGACGCATCTTGTTCAGCTTGAATAGTTTGAATTTCCACCAGAAATGTTTCGATTGTGGAAAAGGCTGAGGTTTGGAAGTTTGTCTCTATAAAGTCGATTTTCATTCTACGAATATTTCATTAGGAAATTAGTCTGTAAATGGATTAGTTATTCACTGAACATTGAAATCTACACAATAGGCTATTTGAAAATCAAAGACTTTTCCCCGAAATGAAAGCTTTGGAACTTTCGCTTCAACCATCGCCTTGGATTCGGGTCGAAATCCCACCTCAGTGAGCGTTAACAGAAAAAAATGGGATATCCCATTGTATGGAATCCAGGGATTTTGGTATCTTCTCGAAGACTAGTGCGTGCCTTTTGTTTACGTATATTAACCCTTGACTTTATAGAGACAACCTTCCCTGAGGAGTGAGTTGGGGTTGGGATTGAAGAATGGACTTGAGCCAATATCTCATTCTTTTGGCTTATGTGAAATTTTCGGTTTCAACTTGATTGATCTCTTTTATGGGTTCATGAAGGGATGACCGGGTGGCAAAAGGGTCGAATCACTTTTTGTCTTAACACCTTTCGGCGGGGGTGGAAGGTATGTATATTGGGGTGGCTGCGCCAAAGTACACGCAAAGCCCAAGGGAGTGAATCCGTGCGGTGGAGTAATGGCATCGAGGGGCATTGTTGCACGAAGAGCTCCAAGCACTATTCGCAGCCTTTGGACTTTAGTACTCCCTTGGCAGCATTGCCGATTCATCATTCACCAAAAGTGTGAGATAAGTGCCCATGAAGTGATCCTGAGGCATCTCACAGTGTCGAACAATGCCCCATTGATGCCCAGCAGGACACTCTATTTTGGACTTGATGGCTTGCCATCCTTCTCAAGGGGCCGCATCATAATTTTCCGATTCAATGACTTCCGGTCCCCCCGTAAATGGCGACCGGAGTGCCTCTTTTCCCGGAAACGTGACTGTGTAACTTAACCACATCGATTAACTATTTATCGACTCTTATCGCTGAGGCGCCCTGATTTTCTGCGTATGATGCGTAAACACATGAGCGGGAATGTCGGCTTTAAAGTGGTGAAATAATTAAGATGAAGATCTGCCGGCAGCCACAAGTGTGACTCACGGTGTTGAGGTAACATTCCTAATAGCGAAAAGTTTCGGCCGAGCAAGAATTTTGCGTCGTCGCCTCGGATTTGTAGGACAAAGAGCGATACTTATCACATGGCTTGATTGATTCCTGGTGAAATTCCATTGACAGAGAAACAATGTTTGCGGGTGTGGAATTACATGAAAGAATCAAAGAATTTTACAAAGTCTGGAACGGAATTTATTGCTTCTCCTGAAACACAGAGAATTAAATTTCAAATAACGAAAATGTTGTTCAGTTGAATATCAAATTGCTGATAAAATTGCTTTTCTCGCTACTTAATTGACCCAATTCTTCTCAAAAAACACTTCCTACTTATCCTGCTTAACACATTTTCAGATTATTTATTAACTCTTAATGCAATGTGTTTAATTAAAGTCTTAGCAGGGAAGAAAATTTGGCGACATTTTGAGAAAAATGGATCGTATTTGACATAAGTAGTCGTGTTTTTCTCTTTGATACATGGAAACAATTAATGCTTTCCTCATCTTAATTTAAATACACTCTGCTATGGAATATCTCGCCGTAATCCGGCTTCAAGTGAGGTAAATCCCACTTTCTCGGCAGCTCTTCAGAATTGCCGGTAATTACGGGGACTCAAGAAAGTTTTGAATATAAGTTTTCAAGTGCATTATATGCTTTTCAAAGACAGAGAAAGAGCTTTTAACACTCATTCAAGGAGATTAGGGTGGCTTCTCAGAAAGGTGTAATTAAAGAGACTGAAAGGGAACACACAGTGTACAGGTATTGTTTGGAGTATAAAACGCACTTAAGCATATACAATCCATACATATATGCATGAACTTGTTATCACGCTTTGAGTCAAACTTCGTAAATTGTCTTTCTTGTTTACTTATGGCTGTGGTTCTGCTTGTGTATGGAGTGAATGAAAATATTACTCGCAATAAAGTGTGGAAAATCTATGTTACTTTTTCAGTCACTTTATCAATTCAAAAACAAAATGCTAAACATTACCTTAACTTCGTTTTCTCTTCTCATGCTGCATTTCAAAGATATGAGAAAACATGCTTCTCAGAATTCAGCATCTTAAATTTTATCTGAGTGCTTCTGAAGTGGAGATTTGTAAGACTTTTCTGTAAAGCTTCAAGCTCTTATTGGCAATGTGGTATTCATAGCTGTGGGAGGAAAGTTGTGAAATTTTTTACACCTCTCTGGAGCTTTTTCTGCACTTGCGTTTTGTTTTGCAGACTGGAACTTTCTGAATTTGAGTGAACAAACTCAAATTTCAATACAAAAATAAATCTACAGCAGAAGTTCTTGAATTGCAGTGCTCAAGAGTTGCACTGTAGCAAAATAAAAAGGCGTTCGTGAATGGCACACGTTCATCATCGTGGCGCTAAGGCAAGAAGTGTTAACCACAGTGCGAGACAATTGTGGTGAGATCGTTTAGCAAATAAACTCTGGCAGCAGAACAAACTTATGTATGTACATTGAAAATTGAACGATTTTGTGTGGACAGATGTTTCTGGCCATGGTGACTGTCGTGCGGAAAAGCTTATTTGAGCTGAAACAGAGGCGCGCAAAAGCTCTGGCACCCGCACTTTGAGCGATTATTTATCTTGCGGGAATTGTATTTTGAGGAATTGGACGTATGCGAAGTGCTCAAAAATCATCATACGGTCGATGTGGAGATGAATGAGTATGTTGGACAGAATATCTCGTGGGATGTTGTTTAGCACCGATATCGTGATATTTTGGTACAAGATTGAATCACTTTCAGATTATTTATGCAATATGGCTTTAATTATGAGATAATTTTAGCCTCGCTTGTAATGCTCCGAGACTTTTTCTTACTCATCATTTTGTAACATCATCGCGGACTCTCAGGTATAAAAAAAGTGCTCTGAATTTGAGCGAGAAGTTGATGTGTTTTCCTCCTTCACTCATTGGGACATTTGTATTTCACCGGCTCATTTGGCCTGTATCAGCAAAAGCTGAATCGATGTGGAGAACAAAAATACTTGAAAAGATAACTTTGAGGCGTATGATTAATAATTTTTCCATGACTGTCGCGAAGGTGGCCAAATAGGAAGGTAAGCTATATTTTTAATCCACTTTTGACTCTAATGTATTTCGAATCGGACAGAATCTCCCCCTGATCTAATCTTTTGGGCAAAAACCTAAAGAAAAACCCCTCGAGAGGAGGTAAAAAACGCGCGCTTTTTCCACTGCGCGAATCCAATTATTTTGCGATCAATCATCAAGGTGTAGTGTACACCTATTATCGCTTATTTTGTAAAATCATTATACACCTTCCAAGTTATGTACCTTAAAGTCACTCTTTTTCCTTCACAGCCAACCGAGTTTATAGCAAGTGTGTTTGAGGCGAGAAACAAAACGAAGATACATACAGGGTTACATGGAAAAATTGTAGGAGTCATTTTTGCATAAATAATTCGAATTGTTCATTCACAAGCACCCACAGATGTGCTTAACTTCATTACTCTTGCTCTGCAGTGTTCCACTAAAACTTTCCTGCCACAATAGTTTGCTGGCGTGAGCTTCACGAATAGCTCTGTGTTGAGATCAAACCACCAACACACGAGCAAATTCACTTAAGCACTTTGAGGCGGCAATGAATGCTACCGATAAGAGATTATTCCACGGTTTCGGTGACGTTATCATTGAGTGATCAGGAGTAAAGTTCTGGAAGCACATATACACAAGTGTTAAACATCAGAGGCGCGTATATTTTTTGGTGGAACAAATAGTCCAAATATTTGATGTACTCTTTTTATGCCATCCGCCAAACGAATGGCTTCCGCACATCCATTTTCCTCAAACGCATCACTCTGAATTGTTGCGACTGGCAATTTCGATTATCGAGTCCAAAAATAACGCGCTTCTGATTAGCAAGTCACCGCGATGAGTGCTTCCACCCATATTAATGGGTGTAAAATCAGCTGGACGTCATTCAGGCTTTCGAAGACAAACGGCTGATGGAGCAAAAAAGACGCGCGACACCGTCACTTTTTTGCACGATTGTCCCCACATCATCGGATGACAACATCACTTTCTAATCAGTGGATATCTGGGCATGGAGCACCGGAGGTAGAAGCCAGTTTTCCGGTGCCTCCCCCGCGCAAATGGCTTCCTTCGCTCCAACCACTCCACAATCATCACTCTCGATGGCAATTGCGTAACTCCCAACAGCTTATCGATTTGGCGTTACCGCGAAAGCTGGGCATCACTTTAAGTTTGAACCCATAAATGCACTAAATAGACGAAATTACAGTCGCGACATGGTTGTAGTGATGGAAATAAATTCTACTCTATGATGTATTTCCACTCGGAGAGACACAGAAGTGAAGAGTCAAGAGAAAAATTAAGCACACGAATAAATTTCGCCTACATTGTAACCCTTGCACTGCTTTCCCATAAAATTCGGAGTTTATTGGATTTTAAGAATGTTCATGTGAAGCAGCAGCAACTTTAAAATATAGTAAACAAAGTTGACACACGAGTGATAATGAATCTCTTTGATAAGTCAATTTCGCTTGAAGAAGCTACTCACTTGAGTGAAAAGCATTGGCAAACAATACAAGACTATAAATTATTGTGGAATACCGAGGTTTTTCCTATAGACATAAATGTCAAGATAAATTTCTATCAACAGAAATTGTCAAGAAAACATAGTTTCGGGCTGTTAATAAACTACATGGTTTGAGAAATTCAATGAGATTCTTACAAAAAATTACAGAAATTTCTAATGGCGATAACTCACGAAAGCATCGATTTAATCAGATAAATGAAGTGTGAGTTTAGAAACATTGACCGTATTTCTTATATCGTTATTAACTTGTAAACATGCTAATTTGAAGCTTTTTGTAATTCAATCACGAATTGTTCGTAGGCTTTCTTGAAGAATATTTCTGCGGGAATCTAGTTCAAAGCTCTGCCTTAGGCTCATCCAAATTTTTCTCATAAAATACCCACAAATTCAGTGCTGCTTCATGCAGAGCACTGGTGAGAATGATCAATGAGTAAAATTGCTATTTTAATTGATTTCCTTCTGCGATGATATCAGACACTTCACGATTTTGTGTTCAAAAATAGAGATTGGTCAATTTTCTGATGTAATCAAATACTTAGATTACTGTAAGTGTTGGTAAATGGCTATCTTGATAAAAAAAATTCATACTTCAGTTTCCTTGAAAACAGTAATTCAATTAATTTTTTTACACCTTTTACTGCTGATTCGGAGTTCATCACAAAGGTTCATCTCATAAGCATAAGACTTTTGCACAAATTCACTTGCATACATGTGCGAGACAATATCATAAGCATTGGAGCAATTTTACATGAGAAACTTAACACCTCATTATTTTCATTTGTCACTATTATTTGCTGACAGTGACAGTTATCTATAAATATAAAACCCACGGCAATTAGGTAGTCTTTCAATTTAGACTAATATTCATAATTAAAGTTATTTTAACAATTCACATGAAGCGTGTCTCAAACGCAAATATTTTACAACTCAACTACAATTTTTCTGTGTTTTTTCAGGCTAAGCAAAAAAGTGATTTTCAAGTAAATTCATAAATCTGTGATATAAAGTAAGTAATTTGCAGCTTAATCTTCCGTCCCTTTTCCAACTATTCCGAACAGCGCACTTATCAGCTCAATGTAAACTCGCACTTCTCAGCCGGCATCAAATTTTTCCGTGAATTGGCAAAATTCAGTGAAGGAGAATAATTTCGTACAAGTGTGTGGTGGAATGTCTTGAATCTTCTCTCTAAGTTCTGTATTTGCAGAATAGCACAATTTGTGGTGGCGGCGAAAAGTGAGCAATATTTTCAGCTGAAGGAACAACTGCCAATTGCGCTCTGAAGACATTTCTGTGCACACCAATTTTCTTATCAGTGCCAATAAAGCAATTGTCCAGAAAATAATTTAGACTCGTCTATAATATTTCTTATATATCTTTTATCTGACAATTGGGCTGGATGATAAGATTAAACACACTCTCTCTCTCTCTCCGGACGATTGGGAAAGGCGATTTCCACACAATACATTTTGAGAAGGAATTTGGTCGTTTTTCAGCTCTCGGATTTTTTTCCTCGGTGAATAGGAATTGCCAAATTTGGTCTTCTTTTCTCTGTATTTTTTTACTCTTACTCTCCTTGAGAGAAGAGGATCCGAAAAGCAGTGACAGAAAGGTATGAAAGAGGCGTTTTTATCTATTCAAGCACTTCTTGTGGGATTTTTGCGTGAGCATTTTCGATGAAAGAATATCAACTTACGGGTAAGATTCTCGGGATGGAATGGAGAGCACGAAGGTATTTCACTGTCAGTAGGACACAAATATTTAGTTTACGGTGCCGAAATTTGTAAACCTTGCTGAACTCTCAGATGATTACACCTTCAACTCCACCTACTTAATTCACTTGGGCAGCCCTCTTTATCACCTTACAATATATAGTAATTGCTTCTGTATATCTTACTCCTTCTGGGACTTTACAGACACTTCTTGTGGGCAAAAGTGAATGAAAATCACTGTCACGTCAGTTGATTCTGAGCCTGAAATCTCTATTATTGGCCTTATGAGAGAAATAGTTGCACTTGAATTAAACGGCCAAGTACTGACATCTCGTCTTGTCACCAGAAACACAATTTTCTTACACCCACTTTCTCGAAAATGTTATCAACTTTTAATCTCACACTCTCATAGACACTGAGTCACTTCGGCGTTGGATGTTTCGCGGTAGGTCTTCACCATATTTTCTTGGGGCACTTTCGAGGCATATTTGTTATGAAATTATTCTCGAGAATGCACCGCAGCGACTATGACAAGCACTATAGTGGATTCTATGGGATGAAGGAGGTAAAGTGCAAACCACTTGCGAGACAAAAAAATCCCTTCTGCAGTATAATTTCTAACACAGGAACACGTGATAATGTGGCACTAACTAGTGGACACTTTGGCGGAAAAAGGGATTTTCTCGCGAAAGTGGCGTCGAGACATCTTCAAGCGCCAAGAGAACAAGATTGTGGCGATAGACTGTGAACAGTTCGACTTGCGAATCGCAACTGACGGATTTACTGAGCTCTGGCGCTGAAAAAGTTCCACACACTCCACACAAGCTCTCACCGGCGCCAGTCAGTGTCTCTCTCCAAAAGCCACAGTCTCTCTGGGGCTTTGGAGGCGAGACTCTGGGAAAACTCAATTTTCCCCGCTCTGTGTGTGGAACACATTCACAATAGTCCCCAATGGTCGCCTCCACTGTGACTCACACAGAAGCACTGCGAGAGCGCGAGAGCGTTTGGAAAATTGGAAAATTCAATGTAGATTTTTCCACACCACTCCAACACGCCTCAAATGTGTAACAGCAGCAATAAAATAATTAAACTGGTATTACCAATATGTTTGTTTTTCACTGCTGCATCTCCCATTTGACTAACATTTATCGTTCTCTCTCTATCTCTCTCTAGATTGATATTCTCTCCATTAACTGTGCGTTCTGGGGTGATTCCGGTTCCGGATTGTCATGGGAAAGATGATCCACGAGAGTCTGCTTGGGATTGCGGTGTAGAAAATAAAATAGCTAAAGTGTTCAGTGTTGTGGAAAAGTTTCATCTCACTTAAAACCTTTGTATATATGTATATTAACCTTGCGGCTGGGAGCACATCAATCTCAAGACGAAAGTTTGCATCGAAGAAGTTTAGTGAAAACTTCTCTGTACACACTAAACTGCTCAATCCCCTAGAGATAGCACATCAGATTAAAAGACAAAATGATGGTCATTGAGCCTGGCCAGGCCTTATACAAAGTTCAAACACACATAGAACATCTTGAGTTTTTCTCACAAGGAAATTACCCACGAGAAGACTTGAAATTTGAGTTTAAACTGCTTCACTGGGCAATTTAAAATCTCAAAATTTCCCATTTTCTCAGGAATTATCACTATAATTACAGCAATTTTAATTGGATATTAATTATTTATTTTATACCACACACCAAATATTTCGTGGAAATTTCTCCCCTTTGCATTTTTGTGAATATTTTCACATTTTAAACAGCATTCCCAGTAGACAATATATCTATATATATTTTTGCGAAATCGTGTACCCTCTTTTTCCTGACTGAGAAAATTTAATATTTGCGAATGAAAATTTAATTGTCTCCTCCTGTGACGGTTCGAGGTGCTACGTGCGAAAAACTAATTTTTGTCGCGAAATTGAATGAATGTGCCATGAAAAATAATGAATTGCGGTGTGTTTCGCGAATTCGAGCGCTGGACAGTCTGTGAAAATCGTTTCCACACAGACAATAGAGGGAAACTAGAGCGATAGAGAGGCAAAATTTATTATTATTTTTCCTCTGTCCACTCTACATTCAATTGTCGACAGATTAAAGTGATAAGGGGATTTTTTATGCCCCTCGGATAGGAGCGGAGAGATTCCAGAAGGGGCCACCTCAGGTGTGAACACTGCGTGGATGGCGCCTGGGGGCAAATAACTCACTGGAAACACGCACTCAACTGTTTTCGCACCTCAACCTCTCAAATATCCATTTGGCATCACTCAGAATGTGAGGCGAAATAGTTCCGGCCACTGTTGCTGAAGCATGTATAAATTGCTGCTTTAATTCGACTGTCAGTGATTTCATTTGGGAAGGAAAGACATGTGAGCAAGTGTTGAATTGGTATATCTGTGGATTTAGCAGGATGCAATCAGATAATTGAAGCAATAATGCTCAAAATGTTCCTTTAATTAGAGGCAAATTGATTTTAATCACTGTCTTTAACTATAGGCGCAGTTTCAGCAAAAAAATAACCGAAGATGAATAAAAAGCTATTCAAAGTAGTTTTCTCACAATGTTTGTGACGTCATGTATGAAAATTCTTTCCACAAAACCCACCATTTATGGAATATGACCATTATTATAATTTTAGTTCACAGACATTTTTAATAGACAATAATTTGACGTCATGAACGTCAGAGTTGAATGAATTTTGCTTGCATAATAAATTTTTAATAACTACGCATGCGACAACTGCTTTTTTCTGAGCTTAATTTTGGAGAGATGAAGAAAGCAATAAAGAATTTAATTTGTTTGTTTCTAACCTTTGTCCATCATAAATTATGTCCCTTTGATTCATTCATATGCCAAACACTTGACTTGAAGAAGTTCTGTGTTCTTAAACAAAGCATAACATGTGGAAATCGATCGTTATCAGTCGCAAGGAATCTCTCGATAATTTTTTGACCCAGATGGTTTGTGACTGATTTATAAGCCCGTGTGTTGTCTGAAAATGCCCTCAATGAAAAAGTCATGTTGATAAAGTGTGAGACGTGGCGTGTCCAGCAAAATCCTAATCTGGCGACGATAAGTGAAAATCTCCAAAACAGTCTGTGTGCCGATAACGTATTGAATTCATAGAACGTGATAAATTGGTTGAAAATTAAAACACCTTTGCACAATGTGTCAGCTTATTCGATTTCTTTGCACGCTCCAAAGTCTCGGCTCCTTCAGAGGAGCAAAGTAAACACACAGGAGAAAGGGTTGCTTCTTGAAGCTTTCCATATAGAGAAAGTCCCTGGAGGACGCCAACAAGGACGCCTTGACCAATCAGGCAAACAAATAAATGGGGAAAGTCGAGGAAGTAGTCTGTGCGTGAATGAGAGGCTGTTTGGCTAGGGCGAACGTGTGTGGAGGAGAGTAAGTGGATGACACTTGAGACAATGGAAATAGACTTTTCCACCTCCCATCAGAGTCAGTGCCATGAATAGCGGAATACAAGCGGCAGGGATGAAATTTCCTCGCCTCTCTCCGCCTTTTTTGAAGCCGGTGCTCTTTTAACAGATAGGCGTTAACGTGTCGGCCTTGGCATTAATTTTAATTTCCTCGATGGTCATTTCCCCTGAAAACTTTTCCACCAACATCATTTCCATGTGTAAACATTTGCGGAGGAAACTTGTTTAATAATATATGGGTATAGCTGAGCATTTTGCTGTACAATGAGCGAGCTTCAGTGCCTCAAATTCACATTCACACACATATGTATACATATAGATAATTCAGCAGCAGAGATATTAATTGGGTAGAATTAGAGATAGAGGAGGAGATAAAAATGAAATGGATCTCCGAGCTTAATCCATGCTTAATTATTCGCAATCATTTTTCCACATGCTTCAACGGGGCACTATTTGCTGTCAAGGATGTGACTTAATCCCACCCGAAAAAGGCTCAAATTTTATGTCGTGAAAGTTAGTTTCTTCTGTGCTCACTAAAGGTCATCTCAAGTGGTCAGGGACTCAATATCATTCTTCATGCGTTGTGTGACCCAATTTTTGCTCAGCTGCAAAGACCATGATAAACTTCAAAGCGCTTAGGGTAGGTTAATAATGTTTTTCAAATATTTTGATTGCTGCTCTCTCAATTTTGGCTATAAATTTATCGCAATTGCGATAGCCAGTAGCCATGATAAGTGTAGCATCTGAATGTTCAAATGTACTTTAAAACAAAGTGATATTGTAAGGCGAATGTCCTTTCTCGAATCTTTCAAGACAGTTGTAATTAAGACAGAAGCTAGGCGATTTGTTAGCATTTTTCCATTATATAGTGCAGATAATTTATCTAAATTTTAAGTAATTTTTTATTCTCCAACACTGAAGAGAAATGGTATGAGATTTTTTTTTCTTATAAAGAAGGTGAACAAGAAGAGAGGTAATAGAGCTCGCCAGGTTGAATTACTGCCAAAAAGTGCAGTGGACTTAATCTAAATAGATTGCGAAGTGCCCTGGAACATGGAAGAAGTTTTCCCAGCACATAAGAGAAAGTCACGAGAGTTTGTTCAAACAATGCTTGATAAATTTCATTAAAAGAGAATTATGCCAGCTTAAAGACATTTTCTGTTCTCAGAATCTTCTGCTCGTCTCTCTCAAATCCATATTAACTACTGCATGCGATGAAGAGAAGTTCTGTGATAAGAACGGCGAATGGTTTAATGGCATAACCATTGGGTCGATTGAAATGCTTTCAGGAGCTGTGTGCAATTCTGTGTACAGCTGAATTCTGTTTAATTTAATAAGAAGTTTAGAGAGATTCATTGATGGATTTTGACACAATCTGCGAATTGAATATCCCTGATGACATGAAATCTCTCTGTAATTTCTCCAACACATTTCTTATTACGAATAAGAAACAATCAATAAATTGGGAAGAACTCACACACCACAAGAATTTGTTTACAATCTCTTCATTTGCAAATACACATCACATATAAATACACACATTTGATATAAACCCAATTTAAATCATGGCATTATTCAAGCTTACTCATACCTCTCTTCATGCTGTAACTTTTATTGGGCAACCCGAAGATTATGTCATAAATTGGAAACACCATGAAAATGGAAGAGGGAAGAGAAAAAATAGGAGCAAAATCGTCCCATCAGGATCATCTTCATAATTCTAAATCTATTACTGTGTCAGAATAAATTGATTTACGCATAAGCAACCAATCGTCTCCCGATAAACAATCTCCTCGGCGGCCCAGCATCTCAAGGAGACGAAGCAGGAAGTTTCCCAGTGAGTGTGTGGCGGAAAATGGGCAGGACATGCTTCATTGATTAATGATCGATTCACAAGGGTGTTTATGCCTCCCACATCACCCTCTTGTCGGTTGAAAAATAAAGTGCGTCCGGGGAGGACGAAAAGGGGTGGTTGTTTTGTGCCAAGTATGCGCCACAAGAAGTCACAAAGTGATGAATTGATGTTGTTCTCGTGCCGGAATATATTATGATGATATTGTTAGTTTTTGTCGCGATCTCAGAGTCCTTACTCCCATATAGGCCATATCTCAAATTTCCTTTTCTTGTTCTTTCCCATCACAATTGGAGAATGAAAGAAAAGCCTGAGAACCTTCTTCAGCAAAACACAATAGGATGCAAGGGGTTTATCAGTCGTGACAGGGAGGTTTGAAATATATTGATCTTGAATGATGGCAAGAGAAGTGTTCCCAACAATATACTC